GTGTGTTCCACCGTGTCCTCAGGGCGGTCCTCGCAGTGATGACACCCGGACGTTTCCTCCCGCCCCATCAGACACAGGTACCTCCCGAAACTTCCATGTCCGGTGAGGACCTGCGTCAGGCGGTAGGTGAGGACGCCGTAGCGTCTCTCAAGCCACTCCAAGAGGGGACTTACCGCTGCGATGGCAGCGAGCCCAGCCCTCGGTTGCGACAGTCGTTGCTGCATCCCGCCACGCACTTATCTGGCGCGGCAGTGGAGTTTCGCCACGGCGACGTATCTCCGCGCGCATGTGATACACGCACGCGAGCACTTTCGCCTCCAGATCCCACGGCGGTAATCCGGCAAGGAGGTTCGCCGACTCCCCGGAGATCGTGCGGTATCCGCGGATCATTCGGATCGCTTCAACATTGGGTTAGGTTAGGTTAATATATATTTTGTTGCACTCGAAGAATTATTAGATTTACTTTTCGTTAAAAGATAGTCATTCAGTAAAACAGTTAACCTTAAAAGACCTAAAATTATAGTATAAATTGATTTATTTGATAAGCTTTAGTGTGCATTTCAGTATTTTTGTTGTTAATTTCGAATATTTTGATTGAATAAAGGGAATTTAAAGTTAAAGTATTAAATACCACTCTCAAATTAATTGGTCGTTTGATAAACGCTACAGCCTATTTATTTTGATGCTCCCTAATGTTCAACATCCATGTAAAAAATTTGAAAGTTAGTACTAATATCGCAGTAGGATTTTTGAGAATTTAAGTGTGGGAGAGCCATGCTTCGGCACGATTGGGTCGTCTCGACCAGGGTGATACCACGGCCTCACAGAAAACCGACATGAAGCAACGCTTGCATTGTGTTTCGTCGTGTGAGTGAGGTTACCGGGGGCCCAATTACCTCCCCTTCGCCAATTTTCCCAATCTCTGAATCCCCAACAATCCTCAAACTCCTAATCTCCAAAAGGCCGGTAACGCACTTGTAACGCCTCTGGTGTTCCAGGTGTCCATAGGCGACGCCGATTGCTTACCATCAGGTGATCCGTATACTCGTTTACCGGCTTACGCTATAAAAAGGGTAACACATTCTCATCTCATTGGCGATGTGTTCGAAAATGTTTGTAAGTATCGTATCCTTTTACGTAGTGCGTTGTAATTTAATCTATTTATCCACGTGAAGTGTTTTTTTTTTTAGGGAGAAGAATCGTCTAAATTATTTCTCCTACCTTGGGTGAGGCGACAGAGTGTCAGGCTCTTATCGATTAAACACCTTGCCGTTCCTACTTCTGCTCTTCGAGCCGGAGCCCCGGCAACCCGTTAAGTCCTCCGCGGTTCCGTATCGGCATCAGCCCTATTGGGCCTCATCTGTGGTGGTCTCATAGCTAAATCGCGCGGACCGCGACGCCCCGTAATCCGCGTGAAGTGTTCAGTGTGCCGAGCGACGTAATATTTTAATTTAATTTAATTTAATTACATTCTTTGTCTTCTCTGTTTGCTTTTTGTTAATCTTAATGTATTATGTAAAGTCTATACTAGGCTCACAATGATACCATCCATGAAGGCACTGATCTCTGTGATACAGGTATTTCCCTAGTACAGAGGTCAGAGTTTTAATTTTGTACTACGACACTATGACTTGTATCAAATTAATGTATACTTGTGTACTTTTTACGTAATAAAGATTATTATTATATTAATGCGTGTATTCAGAGGGCTTAGTACCAGTTTGGTATACGTTTAACGAGATCGAAACGAGACCACGTTCAGCGCCCTGATTAGCCGATGCCAATAAACCGACCAATCAGAGAAAATAAAAATTTTATTCTAGTGCTTGCTTACCATCAGGCGGACAGTCAGCTTTTTTGTTACCGATAGTTAAGTAGTATAAAATAATTGATATTAACCTTTCATAGTACGCTAGGCAGACAATATCATCGATATACCAATTTCTTAAAGTTGATCTCGGTTTCCTAGAACTGAAATAATTGTAAATCTTAATCATGTGTCGTGGTGGGTGCTCTGGCTCGAAGCAGGAGTCAGAGTAGCATGATCTTTAGCCTATAAGAGGTTTGTCCCTCTGCCTCACTCAAGACGAGAAGAGTGATATTTGTGTGATTTTTCCTCTTAAAAATATAGTACCTGAATATGCAACTGTGTACAAGTTCCAGTACTATATGATGAATCGAATGGCATTTACACGCTAGACGAACGGGCGACAAAATAAAGTATGTTTGTTCATAATTTATTTATTGTCAATGTCAATCCAGTACATTAAATCAATTTTCCACTCGTTTGACTAGCGTTTTAATGTATCTTTTGTCTAAAGAGCCAGCCACTGGGCTGGGCAACTTGCCCCCAAACCAGTATTTTTAAGACGTTGTGGTTGATGCAGTCGTCAACGTCTTAAAAATACTGGTCTGGATCATCTAAGTACTATCGTGCTTGCTGCAGTTGCGAGTTTACAACATGTGGTTAAACGAAAGCAATATAATAAATACTCTAGTTTACCCGAGCCTGCATTACAGTCAGCGACGATGAACAGATATATTAAAATAATATTTAACAGTTTATACATTTCAAGAGGCTTGTTGGTTCGACTTATAGAAAATGTGAAATTATGGCAATTTTATAGAAAAATTTTAACGCTTGTCTTTTTAAAAACTAATTTATTAGAACATTTTTAATTATTTCTTTTTATTGTATGAGTTAGTTAAAACAATAGGCAAATAATATACAAATATTGAGCCTTATATTTCTCACCTGAGACACCGAGTTTGGGCTTGAATTATTTGTATCGATGATAAATTTACACTTAGGTGAAGTGTAATTGTCATTAAGGGTCTGATGAGGAAGTACTGTGACAGCTAAGGGAACTCCTCGACGGTTAATAATAATAAATAATAATAATTTTTTATTTGGAACAACATAGGAACCATTTTGTGATATTATGTGTCTTTTAAACTACAACTTAAACACTAGGGTTAGTAAGTAACAAGTTTAAAAGGTATATTAATTAATGAGTCATGTACTTACGAGACACTTCCTGCGGACAATGAAGCCGCATGAGATGCCTCAGCACTGGCGCTCTCGGGTCCTCAGCCACGACTTTCAGGATGCTATTGCCACTCCCCCGAAGCCTCCCCACAAGCGATGCCACCTTTTTCCTGACGATGGCCTGGAAACCATCTGTACCTAATCTGGCAAACATCCCCGAGGCACTACAGAAACGGGGGAGTCCCAACATCATCCTGAAAACATTATTATATTTGACGCGCAGGGCTACTAGCGCCCTCCGCGAACCGACAAACCACAGACTCCCCGTGTACAGACCCTGACAGTATGCTGTAAACAAGGTTATTTTGACCTGATCCGTACAACGGGAAAATCTGCGCGCCAGCATGTTTCCGCGAACGGCCAACAGTAGATACTTTGTGCTTGGGTTTGATTAATTTGTATTGATTAGGACTTTGCACCCATATGAGTTGTACCTACATAGTATAGTAATTTTATTACTAAACTAAAAAATATAAATAAACGAAAATTAAAAACTTGATAGGAAAAATAATTATTATTGGTCATATGTACTTATAGGTTACACACCCTGATAGGTTAAAAGTTTTTTTTTATATATATTTGCTGGGCCGACGTTTGACCACTATCTCGCCTGGTGGTTAGCGATGATGCAGTCTACGATAGAGCACGTCGTCCCATAATCAACCTATTCACTCGGGGCTTGAAGAAGTCAGTGCCACAAACCCATGAGAAAATTTAACTTAGACAATGGTCACAGGTATAATCCATAATTAAATTACAAATAGCTTTAATAATATTAGGTGTTTATTAAGGGTTTAATGAATAATTTTGTTCAAAACTTGTGGCACCGAGCGTAGAAGTCATTTTAGGAATATGAACAAAATAAAACACATTTGGTTATTATTCTTAACTTTTTTATAATTTCAAAACAAAATTCATTGCATTAATAATCATTTGCATCACTATTTTCTTTGGAGATTTTGAAAGTGATGCAATCATGCAACTAATTCCGAGTTCATTCTGAAAACACATAAATGCAATTATTATAGTGACCTTTTAAAAGCTAATAATGAATATTTCCATTGTAGGCAAGTGAATATTTTACAACAAAAAAATAACGTTTATTTTAAAAATCGATTACAAAAAAATTGTGTCGACCTTTGGCCAAAAGACAACTCGCAAGGTCCATATAAAACACTGACATTCAACTGAATCTAATTTGATCCCACAAAATAAAGTATTGCAACTTTGAAAATGAGATATCGTGTCTTCTTCTCGTACCCAGTAAATGGTAATCAAATCAGTTAATAAAAATTCAATGTATGAGATTGACATTGACATTCGACTAATCATGTCAAAACTTATGTCAAGCCCATAAATTGTATTTTCGATTGAAAACATTCGATCTGAAAAATGTTTCTCGTTTGTACTTCAGATGATACAATTATTTTCGTATTAATGTAGTGCGACGGCAAAAAATATTTGTGGCTTACCAATGGCGGCCACAGGCACTCATGCACTCTGCTTTTGAGGAGAAGTTATTATCAGTGCCCCCGCAAACACCGTCCTCGAACAAAATACACTCATTTTTGCCTATGTCGTAATAATACCTGATAAAAAAATTTAAAATGATTGCCTCGTTGGCCGAGTGGTCGCAAGTGTGACTGCGGGGCAAGGGGTCTCGGGTTCGATTCCCGGGTCGGGCAATGTATTACTGGGTTTTTAAAAAATTCTCAGTAACTAGTAGAATTGTGCCCGGTATATGGCAATAGGCTCACCCCCTAATACATGGGACTCATAACATAAAATAGTGAAAAGTGGGTGTTACATTGTACACTTGTACAGTGGGATAATGCGCACCTCTGCCTACCCTTTCGGGAATAAAAGGCTTGATGTTATGTTATGTAAAAATATTGATTACAGAACTTGCTCTTTTTAAACGGTATCCGACATTGTAATTTCCTCCTGAGTCATGAGCACCAACAAACTCGTTCAAAACCCTCTGGTAAGAGGAAAATTGTTTTCTAGATGGTCCACGACACCTTTGTGATGCCTCTCGTTCTGTTAGTGTACTTATGCTATAGTGTATGCTTGCCTTCAGGCGGACGGTCGGCATTTTTGCTACCGATAGTTAGTAGTATAAAATATATATAACTAGTGACCCGCCCCGGCTTCGCACGGGTGCAATATGCATGTATTATACATACAAACCTTCCTTAAGAATCACTCTATCTATTAAAAAAAACCGCATCAAAATCCGTTGCGTAGTTTTAAAGATCTAAGCATACATACGGACATACAGCGAAAGCGACTTTGTTTTATACTATGTATTGATATTGATATCACCTTTCAGTGTCCGCCAGGCAGCCATTATCTCGGTCTTTCAAATGGTGCGGTTCAAAGCATCGTTGTTCCCGGAAATCTATAACTATAGCAATTATACAATATTAATCTTGTGTCGTTGTGGGTTCGTCTACAAACAAATTGTTAGCGACGCGGGTAAGAATTTGTAAATAGTATGAATATTTTATCTATTTGAGGAAAACTGCGGGAACAGGAGTTGGAATGGGATGATTTTTAGTCAGTACCTAACAGTGTTGTCCCTATTGCGTAACCTGAGGTGGTAGCCATCATATAGTGATATTTCCTATTAAAAATATGGCAGTACACGTTACCCAGCCACCACAAAGTCATAAAAATACTGGTCTAGGTTACAGCTGTATTCGTTACCTTTAAAGTGAGTACTCGTTACTATCATATCATTACGTTAGTTGGTACTTTTAATACCTCGGTATAACCCACGAATCGAGTCGTATGTTGTGTGGTACGCGAGAAGGACTGCAGATGAACTGTTAAACTGAAATAAGACATTTTAGATAGCAATATTTTAAACAACAAAAATCCAATCCAAAAACGGTCTTAAATTGAAATTATATATATATTGAATAAAAACATTTATTTATCGTATCAACAAATCAACTGATGACATGACAACAAAATATTAAATTATACAGATAAATATATTTACTTGTGTAAACAAATCAGCTTTGACAAAACAAACAACGACCAAGAGGTAGAAAGACGGATACAACTAGCTTGGAATAAATATTGGAGCCTGAAAGAAATATTTAAAAGCAATATGGCGATACAAATTAAATCTATGGTCATGACGTCTTGCCTCCTACCATGTTTAACGTACGCCTGTCAAACCTGGAAATTCACAAGCATTTTATGACACAAAATACCTACATTTCAACGAGGCATGGAGCGCAATATGCTCAACATAAAAAAAAATACAAAAAGTAAGACATAGGTACTAAAATCAGACAAACAACAAAAGTTACCGACGCACTCAACCAGTCTCTAAAACTCAAATGGAAGTGGGCGGGACATGTAGCGCGACTTCAAGACCAGAGATGGACAAGGAGAGTCACGTCATGGACCGGCCCCCTGGGTAGGCGCTGCAGAGGAAGGCCGCTTACAAGATGGCAGGATGAGATTGTTAGGACGGCTGGCCATAAGATACAGAAAGCCCTGAATAGGGAGCAATGGAAATCGTTGGAGGATGCCTTCACCCGAGGAGTTATTCTGGAAAACGAACCAATAACTGAACAAAACATTTAAATCTTCAAATACATTTAAAAACAAATAAAACAAGAAATAATATAGGTTGAGCTTAGTAAAAAAAAAACAATTGTTATTTAGGTTTTCTTTTTTCCACGAAATATAAGGCTTTTTATTTTTATTTTATTTTATTTTTATATCAACAAATCAAAAACGAATATATGACGGAGATTCGTTACCGATCGTGACATCGTAATAATCGCACAAAACTAAGAATGCAGTTTAGCGCGGAGTAACGCTCGTACACGGCCTCACATCGAGCTTTACATAACCAGTATAAACTGAACGTTTAATTTGCGGAAAGATGATGCGACGCGACACCAGGATAAACTGGTTTTGTATTTTTTTTAAAGGGGAAAATCATCGAATGACTGCTCCCGCCTGGGTGAGGCGGGAGGGAGTGTCAGACTCTTACTGACTAAAAACCACCCCGTTCCTTCTCCTGCACGTCGAGCCGGAGCCTCGGTTACCCGTTAGGTTCTCCGCGATCCCCGGTTACCCGTTAGGTTCTCCGCGACCCCCGGTTACCCGTTAGGTTCTCCGCGACAAATTGGTTTTGTATAGACTGATGTTTGGTCGTATATGCAGCCAACCACGATCTATCCAAAACGTGTTTCCCGCGCGCGGTGACGTCTGTCAACGTCATTCCCTGTCAACTGTCAAAATCTGATTTAACTTCCGGATCGATTATTCCATCTATATTGCCATTACTCCGTGTGACTGCCTGGCAAGGGGTCTCCGATTCAATTCCCAGATCAGTCAAAGTTCTACTGGATTTAAAACATTTTCAATGGGTAGATGCACGGAGTCTGAAATTGTGCCCGGTATATTATGGCAATAGGCTCACCCCCTATTACATGGGACTCATAACTTAAATAGAGAAAAGTGCGTGTTACATTGTACAGTGGCATTAAGTGCCGTAATGTGCCACTGCCTAACCCTTCGGGGATTGATAGCGTGATGTTATGTTATGTTACTACAACGATACAATAAATGCGAGTAAGGAAATACATTGGAGAGGAGAGAGGATACATACGATTTGTTACAGGTCTAGTCTGGACTATCTAAGTATTATTGTGCTTACAGCAGTTGCGAGTCTCTAACATACATACGAAAGCAGCATAATAATTAATCAAGTTTACCCAAGTAAGCGTTACAGTCAGCAACGATGAACAGAAACATTAAAACAATACTTAACAGCTTATACATTTCAGAACAATTGTGCGATCGACTCAAAGTAAATGTGAAAGTCCTATAAATAATTCAAACGCTTGGCTTTTTAAAAACTAATTTGTTAATTTTTTTTTGATTAGGTATGTATAATTAAATTAGAATCAATAATTATTAGCATAATTAGCTAATTTTCTTCTATGCTAACAATCTAATTTGGATAATTCTTAATTATTTTTTTAATAAACGTGCTTGTCTGTCGTTCGGTATTTTAATACGAAACCAATCAGAAGCTTGTCTTTTAAAATAACTAATTTACTAATACAACCTTTAGACTAATCTTTTAAATTAGAAGCAATTATTGTTTGTACGACAAATATTAATATTTTCATTATTAATGGAATTATTTAAAACCATGAATAATGGATTTTATGATTAGGTATACTTATAAAATCAAGCGTTATTAATGCATCGTTATTAAAAACTTCCTTCCTTGACCTTCATCCTTCTTTTAGAGGGGAAAATCATCCAATGGCTGCTCCCGCCGCCGGGTGAGGCGAGAGCGAGTGTCAGACTCTTACTGACTAAAAAATACCCCGTTCCTACTCCTGTTCTTCGAGCCGGAGCCCCGGCAATCCGTTAGGCCTTCCGCAGCTCCGTATTGGGTATCAGCCCTACTGGGCCCCATCCGTGGTGGTCTGATGACTCCTTGAGACACGCGACGCGCCATATGCACGGGTCTAACTCTGGTCGGGCGGCAAACTACCGTTCTGACCTTCTTCCGTCCTTGACGCCTCATTTAGCGAATGTGATGCAAGCAACCGATAAATGAAAATGGTGGTCTACAATGCCGCTTCGTGGACAAAAGAGGCATTTTGTCATTTGCAGCCTAATGTCATTGTAGGTTGCAAGCATTCGTCTAAAACGCATGGTGCACAGTACTTTCTAAGTTTATGTAGACACCAGTGATATACGATGAAAGAAAACATCTTGAGGTGACCTGGGGTTCGCCAACCCGTATTGAGTAAACGTGGTGATTAATGCTCATTTCTTCTCCGCGTGAGGCCTTTCACTTTTATGATGATGACACGTATTTACGAATGCCCATTTGAGTAATTTGCTAGATTCTACTTGATAAGATTTTATCTATTTTAATAAAAAAGCTGGCCAAAATCGATTAGGTTTAATTAATCCATTACTTTGTCATGTTCAAAACTATACTTGGATTTGTGAACTTGAAAGCGTGAACGCTTGGCTTGGAGACCTAAGCTAATGCCCGAATACTGAAACGTTACTCAATTTTCAAGTCCTGTCAATTAATAATTGCCAGAGTCTATATTTCCTGAAAGGTAACCTGGTATAACCCGTGTCTTCAAGACTCAAGATACAACATATAGGCCACATATTATAACGCTATCACTTACGGGTGAGGAGCTGTGAATCACTATTCCACGCGGACGAAGATTAGCTAAGCTACCTCCAGTATTTTATAATCTAACTTCGTGGCAAATGTGACTGATATAAACTGGCCTGCCAAGACCTAGTTCCAGGAAAATATTATGGTACTTTGGACAGTTTTCATGAATTTTGTACGAGATTATGTCATGTCATGTTCGTTGCTATATCATATTTTCTTTGTGCGCTATACATATATATAGCGCACAAAGAAAATATTAACACACTTATTTCTTAAACATTAAATACACAAATCCACTGCCTCGTTGGCCGAGTGGTCGTAAGTGCGACTGTCGGTCAGGGGGTCTCGGGTTCGATTCACGGGTCGGGAAAGTATTACTGGGTTGCAAATACATTCCAGTCGGAACTACAAAATTACCGAACTAGCTCTTATGTATGTATGTTTAATGAATTGTGTATTGACAATTCTTAATCTACAAGCCTTTTCCTTTAATGGCACCCGAATCCCCAATGTACAGTGTTGTGTTGTCAAAGTCAGTTCTTACTAAGATATTTGTCATCTATATATTTAAACGAATTAAGATATTTCGCATCTATATATTTACCTATATCAATGCGTATAGACAATAAAAGTGCCGATGACAAAAGCCTACAAGATGCCGGTTGTCAGTACCTGTAACGTTTTTAAATTTTTACATATTATTCTAGTTATATATGTTTGGATTTTGGGGATCTCATGACACCCACAAAAAGAGCAAGGATGACGACAATCACTAACCCTGATGACGGCACTAAGGCGGCCACCACTTTTAACCAGTTCAATAAAGCAATTAAAAAAGCTATAATCGTGGGAGCACGTTTGTTGAAGGAAAAATTTATAAGTTACAATAATTTAATTAGATACATTGTTTTAAGAAAATTATCTAATTATGCAAACAAGATTTGGTTCTAATTTAATTATAACTTACTAATTAAACAAATGTTGTAATAAATTAGTTTTTAAATAGACAAGCATTCGCAATTATAGAAATTGCCACAATTTTACAATTTCTTTGAGTCGAACGCACAAGTCTCCTGAAATGTATAAGCTGTTAAATATTATTTTAATGTTTCTGTTCATCGTCGCTGACTGTAACGCTGGCTCGAGTAAACTAGATTATTTATTATATTGCTTTCGTATAACTATATGCTAGAGACTCACAACTGCAGCAAGCAAATGTCTATAGTACTTAGATGATCCAGACCAGTATTTTTAAGACGTTGTGGTTGACGCAGTGGCTGGGCAACTTGCCCCCTTTAGACAAAAGAGACATTAAAACGCTAGTCAAACGAGTGGAAAATTTATTTAAACTGTCAAACACCAAGCGGTCACTGGTGACCGCAACCTATTGTTCTATAATTGTGTCTATAATGACAGTACTCGACGAGTTAATGTACTGCATTGACATTGACATTTAATAAATGATGTTTAAACAAGGTTTTTGTCCCCCGTTCGACTAGCGTGTAAATGCCATGTGATTCGTAGCACTACAACTTTGTACAAAGTTGCGTATTCACGTACCATATTTTTGAGAGGAAAAATCACAATAATATCACCCTTGTCGTCCTGGGTGAAGCGAGAGGGACAAACCTCGTATAGGCTAAAAGTCACCCCACTCCGACTCCTGCTTCGAGCCAGAGCAACGGTAGCTCCTTGGGTGTCTCCACAGCAGCAACCCAAGTCCTCAAATAGCTATATTCTTGGTATTATTTACAATTGTTACTCGCGGTCCCGTATGGTACGTGTTTGTAGACGTACCCTCAACGATACAAGATTAATATTTAAAACTGTTACACTTCCAGAAAGCGAGAATCCACGATGCCGCGAACAAACAGAATTTGCTATAGGTGAATTCCTCTGCTTGATGTACAGGGAAAGGTTAATACATATTTTATAATACTTAACTATCGCTATCAAAAAACCGACTGGCCGCCTGATGGCGAGCGTACACTATTGCCTAAGTACGTACACTGGCAAAACGCGAGGCATCACAAATGTGTCGTGGACCTTCTAGGAAACTGTTTTCAACGCTTACCAGATGCATGCAGTAACATTACGTCACCACTTCACGCGGGTATCCCGTGAGAGGAAAGTACTTCCCCGGCTGAGCCAGTCCTTTCAAGTCACGTAACGTACCTCTAGGCTCTACCACTACAAAATGCAAGCATCCACGACTTTTACTTTTCAACCATTAATTCCGTTTAGCTGTAACAGAGCGCTACGTTAAAGTATTTTTGTTGTTTCAGTTGGTATTACGACATCAAGAAAAAAAACTGCTATTTTACCACAGCGGGTGGTTGCGAAAATGTAAGGAACAATTTTGACACACAACAAGAGTGCGTAACTGCCTGCGTCAGCATATAATACCTATGGTAAGTCACAAACATTTTATGGGATCGCATAATATACACCCATACAAAAATTTTTAGATTAAAAAACTCAATGTATGAGCTTGACATAAGTTTTGACATAATTTATCGAATGTCATTGTCAATCTCATACATTCAGTTTTTATTAACTGAATCGATTAGCTTTTAAATGCAATTTATTTGACGAGCTTGCATTTTTCATCAGAATACATATATTTGTTTCGTAATTCTATGATCATACGATCAGGTCGCGCACCTGATATTGATTGACTGCACGGTTGGCGCTGTGGCTGGGCTACTGCGCAATGTGTTGCGGGTTCGATTCCCGTACAGAATAGATTGTCGTTTCTAGTCTGGGTAGCATAATATGTATGTGAACTTAAATGCCTGTTAACCCACCCACGACACAGGAGGAAATACTAGTGTGGGGCAATATTTAAAAAATATAATATTATAACGTACTTACGTATATAGATTTTTTTAGTTTTGATCGTCGACTTCAGGGACACCATGTATATTGTATACATAGTGGTGTGTATGTACGTTGCTTGCTTGTCGGCAAATTTTAATCAACCGCAGTGCTTGTTATAGTGTAGACACATACTCACATACATATCATGCCATTTGGTTAGGCACCACAGAGGGTTTAGTGATTGTTTTACGTTTTGTTGGTATATTGGAGCCGCCCAACCAGAACGCCAGACGCGGTCGCGTGTCAATTACTTTATACGTAAAACAAACTCTATCCTTAGTTACAGTGAGGGATTACCCTCAGAACGCCAAATGGCACAATTCTGTCATACCTCTCTCGCTAACATTCATCGATCTCGGAATGTTCTGAAAGTCTCTCTGAACATACCACGGCAGCACGTATCATGTCATGAATCACTATAATAATACTATTTATTTGTTTTCAGAACTCTTAACGAGAACGACTCAGATAAGAAGTAGCATCACTTCCAACATCTCCAGAGACTATTTTAGAGTTATCCGATATTGAAATGAGTCGTTTCGTTTGAAATTATACAAAAGTAAAAATAACAATGTGTTTTATTTTGTACACGTTCCACTGCGTCAACCACAACGTCTTAAAAATACTGGTCTGGATCATCTAAGTACTATAGACATTTGCTTGCTGCAGTTGCGAGTCTCTAGCATATAGTTATACGAAAGCAATATAATAAATAATCTAGTTTACTCGAGCCAGCATTACAGTCAGCGACGATGAACAGAAACATTAAAATAATATTTAACAGCTTATACATTTCAGGAGACTTGTGCGTTCGACTCAAAGAAATTGTAAAATTGTGGCAATTTTCCATAATTTCTAATGCTTGTCTTTTTTACAACTAATTTACTGCAACATTTTTTTCATTAGCTATTTATAATTAAATAAGAATCAAATTTTGTTTGCATAATTAGATAGTTTTCTTAAAATAATTTAATTTCATTATTATTATTTTTTTTTGGTTTATTGAACTGGTTAATAGTGGTCCCGTCACCACTGTTAGTTATTGTTGCCATCCTTACTCTTCCCGTAGGTGTCATGAGATCCACAAAATCCAAACAAAAAAAAACGGCAACTTATAAATAGCAACAAAATAAATAAGCTGAATAACAAAATAAATAAGCATTAGCTGAATCCTTCAACTATTTTTTCGTTGACCAAATTACTTATATATTTATTTATTCTTTTATGTACACAATTTGATTATGGCACATAAGGCGAACTTAATGCCATATGGCATTCTCTACCAGTCAACCTTAGGGTTTAATTAGAAAATCTGCGAAAAATAACGTACGGAGTATAAACTAACAGCAAAGACAGATAAAAATGGTAATTATTAAGTAATATGGGTATACATCTGTCGGAACGGTCATTAGTACGGGATTTTGATTTACTACAAAACGAAGGAATAACAACAAAATGAATAAAGATGGCGCGCTTCAACAGTTAATTCATCGCACGACAGCAGGCACTCTTGGCTTGGACTCCGAACGAACAACGACGCACTAAGAATACTGTCGGCTGAATAGTGATTGCAATCATTACAATCAGTGCTGTGAAATTGTCATTGAGATTATATTGTTTGAGATTATAACTGTGAATATTATTACAATGTAAGTGGACCAAACTTTGATGTATTTTAACCATTTTTGAACTTTGAAAGTGACTGAGACCACTGAGTTTGTGTCGGCGTTTCTTGTCAGAATAGTCCGTAGGAAATGCTTACTTAATTAAAATGTGAACAAGTAAAGGTGCACTGTCGAAAGTAAACATTGCTTTATTTACGAAGATTTAATTGTTTTATTGCTGCATAAACATACCTCTACCGATATATGTGACGAAAAGGGCTCTCGCTCAACATCGCCTACTCCATCCTCCGACACACATATAATTATATTACTTAACTAGCTGTTGCCCGTGATTTCGTCCGACAGAATGACTTCTGGCAGAATTTAGGCTTTTGAATTAGACTTTACCAAGGGACATTCCACGGTAACAAAAAATTTCGTTAGTCTTGATTCAGTACTTAGGTTATATTAATTGTAAAATGAATTTATTTTCGTGATTTGAAAAATTAAATCATCCCAACAATCAGGTTTCAAACCGTACAGAGCTCACCTCGTAAGGTTTTAGTGATTATAAACTATTATATCTCCTTTATCGGGTTGCAAAACTTTTTGTACCCAGTTTCAATTGAATTTTAACGCATATCCCCGTTGCCGTGTGATTTTCAGAAATATCCCCGTTGCCGTGTGTTTTTTATATACCGTAGTACTATTTTTACTACTGACCAATATTGTACTTGAGGTTTATTGTTGAAGCTGCTCAATTTGTTTACTAGATACCCTATAGGTGCTAATATCACATGGTTAATGAACTGGATTACAACCTGTCATATTGTATCTTTGAACAATCTTCCCTTTATAATTAGCTGATCAATATAAATTTCCTGCCTGGTTGCATTCTGATTTATTCTCAAACAAATAACATTTTCGTATGATTCACATGTCCAAACATTGTCACATTAAAGTTGTTTCTAAGATTTCTTCACCTTTTTCTATGTTGTTATAAGATAATAATAAGTCATCCACAAAAATCAATATGATGATAATGCTTTCATCTTCATTTTTATAATAAAGACATGGGTCTTCAAGATGTGCTTTTTAATTCCAGCTGTTTCAATATAGAAGTTAGTTTCAAGTGTCATTGACGAGTTCCCTGTTTTAACCCGTAAATAGATTTATTAAATTTACAGACTGCGGCTCTGCGGCGGTGATGAACTAACGCATATGTACATGCGCGTGACACTGCTGGCACGTTAGGCTCGCTCGGCTTCGGCTGCGTAGGTGTTGGGTTCGAACTCCGGGTCGACGCAAAACAGTGCTGCCGCTACCGTTTTAACAAGGTATCCGTAACCTTGTCGAAACGGAGGAAGTGACTCACTCTCTCTCTCTCTCTCTCTCTCTTGTCTCAACCGGGCCAGAGAAGTAAATGGATGATTTCTCCTCTTAAAAGAAACTACTTACAGGTATCGAATATGAGACTACTTGCTCAGCAGCCACGCTTCTGGGATCTTGGGAACGTGTACAAAATAAAACACATTGTTATTTTCACTTTTTTATAATTTCAAACGAAACGTTTCATTTCAATATCGGATAACGTTAAAATGGTCTCCGGAGATGTTGCGAGTTATGCTACTTCTTATCTGAGTCGTTCTCGTTAAAAGTTCTGAAAATACATAAATAGTATTATTATAGTGATTCATTACATGATACGTGCTGCCGTGGTAAGTTCAGAGAGACTTTCAGAACTTTCCGAGATCGATGAATGTTAGCGAGAGAGGTATGACAGAATTATGTCATTTGGTGTTCTTAGGGTAAGCCATCACTTTAAACTGTCCAACACCGGAGGAAACACCGGTGACCGAAACCTATTGTTCTTTAATTGTCTCTACAATGACGGTACTCAAAGGGTTAACAGAAGTTTAAGTTTTTTTTATCGTGTGCAGTGATTGACACGCGACCGCGTCTGGCGTTCTGGTTGGGCGGCTCCAATAAAGCAACAAACTGTAAAACAATCACTAAACCCTCTGTTGTCCTGCCTACCCCAATGGCACGATATGTATGTGTGTGTGTGTATCTTGACTATAACAAGCTCTGCGGTTGATTAAAATTCGCCGACAAGCAAGCAACGTACATACACAACACTATGTATACAATATACAAGGTGCCCCTGAAGTCGACGATCAAATGGTACCGGGTGATCGGCGATCGGTGATCGGTGTAATTTAAAATCTATATCACTTGGAAGTATTTTAATATTTTTCTAATAACTGTTGGAACCTCGCCGATCACCTGGTGCCAGTTTTGATCGTCGACTTCAAGGACACCCTCCATATTTTTTATTTTGTAAGTATTAATAAGCTAATCGAATCAGTTAATAAAAAGTGAATGTATGAGATTGACATTGACATCAAATTATGTCAAACCTTATGTCAAGCCCATACATTGAGTTTTTTTAATCTAATAATTTTTGTATGGCTGTATATGCGACCCCATTTGTATTTTTTTAAGGGGAGAAAATCATCGAATGACTGCTCCCGCCTGGGTGAGGCGGAAGGGAGTGTCAGACTCTTACTGACTAAAACCACCCCGTTCCTTATCCTGCACTTCGAGCCGGAGCCCCGGGAACCCGTTAGATTCTTCGCGACTCCGAATCGGCATCAGCCCTATCCGTGGTGGTCTGATGACTCTTTGAGGCGCGCATGGAACGCGACGCACCGTACGCTCGGGTCTGGTTTTGGTCAGGTGGCGAGTCACCCATGCTCGCCGTCCGCAGGTCTGCACTTACGGTGGCCGGAGATCGTCCCGCGACCCCTGACGCCCGGAGTGTCCTTCGCGATGGCTGGGTTGCAAGCAGGCAGCGCTTCGCTGCCTCACGCGTCCCGGCTCCTCCTTAGCTAGCATATATGCGACCCCATTAAATAAATGTTTGTAACTTACCATAGAGTTTGGGCGGATGCAAGCAATTGCGCACTCTTGTTGTGTGTAAAAATTCTCAGTACCGCCGCAACTAGCGCCCGTGGTATAAATGCAGTCATTTTTCACCATGTCGTAATACCAACTGAAAAAAAAAATATACTTTAACGTAGCGCTCTATTAAAGCTAAACGGAATTAATGGATGAAAAGTAAAAGTTGTGGATGCTTGCATTTTGTAGTGGTAGAGCCTAGAGGTGCTTTACGTAACTTGAAAGGACTGGCACGGCTGGGGAAGTACTTCCCTCTCACGAGATACCCGCGTGAAGTGGTGACGTAATGTTACTGCGTGTATTTGGTAAGTGAGGGAAACAGTTTGCTAGAAGGTCCACGACTCAATTTTTGTGATGCCTCTCGGGCTGCTAGTGTATTTAGGCTATAGTGTATGCTTGCCATCAGGCGGACAGTCGGCTTATTTGCTACCGATAGTTAAGTTGTATAAAATATGTATATAATTAACCTTTCCATTTCCATCAAGCAGGTCAATCCACCGGGAGCATGTTCTTTCCGTTTGAGTCATCGTGGATCCAGGCCTCCTGGAACTATAACAATTGTAAATCTTCATATTGTGTCGTGGTGGGTTCGTCTACAAACACGTAGTTGGGACCACGAGTAACAAGTTGTAGATAATAGTTACAAAAAAAATATCTATTCCTCTGAGTTGCTCCTGTGGAGACCCTCGAGGACCCGTTGCGTTGTTTCGAAGCAAGAGTCGGAGTGGGGTGATATTTA